TTAGCGTCCCATTGCCGATGGTCGCAAAATAACGAGTTTTTCACGTCGGAAGCGCAGTACCGGTTGAGATGCAAAAACACTTAACCAGCAGCACGTCTCTGTGTCACAAAACATACGTCCGCTACGGCGCAAAAATTAGTAATAATCACGAGATAATGCGAATCGGCGGGAAAATTGAGCGCTTGAAGAGTAATAAATGCTGGTGAAAATATCAGCAATTTATAATGTATGAAACAAAATAAAATACGTTGCGCTGTGAACAATCTTTTGCGCGTTACAGTAATTTCTAGCGAATATGATTGTGGTGGTCCCCGTTTCCTTCCGACTGCAGATTCAGCTATCCTAGTATCTCGTATTCATTGAAAATATCCGATTCGTTAAAAAATATTTGGTCACTAGTCACTACCATAAACTTTTGTTTCAAATTTTACCATTTCATAAACGTTTTAGACATAGTCGATGAGAGATATTAAAAAAAAACAATTCTCAAATTAAATAAAGCTCATATAAGACCTAGATCCAACTGGCGGCCGTAGTATTTTTATAAAAACATAATGCGGCCGTATAAATAAAAAAGGTTGTGCACCCCTGCCTAACCCTATATACATAACTGCTTTTATCAGAAATACTTTTCTTACAGCCAAATTCTCGGCGATTTTTCCGGACACGCTGCAACAATAATCACCACAAATTAAATAAATAATTTCTTTCTTATTTGTCAACATGTTTGAATCTATTGACTGAATGACACGAAGCATAAATTAACAGCTAGATCAAGTAGTGGAATTTTAACATACAAACCATTGCCAACTACACTTCGACTATATCATAGAGCAATTTTTTTTCAAACTTTTTAGCTGCGCCCCCTTTTTTAGAATTTGTCAAGTCTAGCTAACAATGAGCTACAAATAACAGATAGTAATGGGAAAGTACGTTTTATGAAAAAAAAAACGTTGAAAATACGTTGATGGAACGTAAATAATGAAATGAACAAAAAGTTTTGAAATCTAAATATCCAAAATACGACACGGGCAAGATCAAATTTTAATTAGTTTCACACCCTCTCAAAAAATTGTCTACTCGACAAAACACTAAACTGTTATGTTCCAAATAATGTGTTCCAAAACCCTATACAACTGCGAACTATTCAAATCTCATTTTGCATATAGTCGTCCAATTCTGGGTACTTCCGAAGTATGTGAACCAAGATGGCGGACACCGAAACGTAGTATGTGTACCAGGTTAGATTTAGATAATTTTAAGGTGTTAGATAATTTTATTCTAATTTTCTTTCATTTAGTTCTATTACGAGTTCAGGGAATAGCCAAGTGACTCACGTAGTATTTGTACCTGAAATTATGGCCTAACTCTAACCTTGTACACATACTACGTTGCGGTGTCCGCGATCTTGGTTCACATACTTCGGGAGAACCAAATTCTATACGTTTTGTTTTTCAATTAAATGCATGAACTTAACGATTACCCTGTTTCTGAAAACATGCGTTGCAACATAACGTTATTTTACTCATTATCAGTAGAGTTAACTCCCAATCTCTCCGCAATGCCTTTGCAATAGTGGATCTGTGTGCGTATAATGAAAGGATGCTGTAGGAGGAATACCATACTATGCAACTCAAAAGTCTTACTGCACACTAACACAAATGTATTTCTGTAACGTTTCGTGTGATCAAAATCAGACTTCCTCAGACAGTTTACAGCAATGACAAGAGAAGAAGAATCAAGCGGTTTAAAAATCTAATCAGAAATACTTTATGTTAGTGTGTAGCAGGACTCTTAAATTACATAGTATTTTACTTATTATTGCCATTAATTAATTCCTACTTTACATTTTGAAATGAAGAATCAAAAAGTAGCAAAACTAATCGCCTACGCCCAAAGCCTGCGTTCATCAAGCACTCGCTTACTGCGGCAATCTTCCTATGCGTCGTCACATTCATTTAATATATCTGTAACTCTGTGTATTAGGCGTCATTGTTTACTTACTGGCGCCTGTACCTGATGTTTGCCAATGCTTTGTGACTTTTTGGACACGTAGTGAACATAACGATCGTTTTGCATTTTATGCTGGCACTCTTAATGTTGGATCACCGCTCTGGGAGACCCTTGTTATCAGTCGTTCTGTTGGATCTCCGCTTTACAGAAGACCCTTATTATCAGTCGTTCTGTCTGTTTAGATGTAGCGTCTTAACGACTGGACCAATCTGAATGAAATTTTCACATGGGTTATCCAGCCACCCTAGTATTGTGCGTTTTATGGAAAGTCCGGATGGAAGTTTCGTTACCATGAAAACAACGAAAAACGCGCCGATCGTTATGAAATTTCTATTTTTTTTACAATTTATCGCCATTTTCTCGCCAACCAAGTCGAAAATTAAAATTCCAAAAACGCTACCTTCCGCATAGCAAAGTACTCTTTCCAATAAGTTATTTTTGGTCTCGATACTCCATAAACTGGAGGAGCCTTAGGGATTTTAGTGAAGATTATTTTTTAACTTTCAGCCACAATATACCAGTCACGCGAGTAAGACTACGAAACGCGCAGCGTTAGAAATGAACTCAGCGAAACGCGCAGCGTTCAAATGAACTGGCGATTTTTAGTAGTGTCTCCTATTATCCGTTAGTAAACTGAAATGATGCGGGCCTCAAGCAATGGCGGAGATCCAACTGGGCGCCTACCGGCTTGTTATTATTCTTCGTCACCATCATTATAAAATCGCTTTTCTCTTCAAATACTGGACCAATTGCTTTGAAATTTTCAGTGGTTAAAGTTTGATTTTTTCTCCAGAAGGCTATTACTTTTATTTATTTCAAATATTTCTGTTAGCTCTGTGAGATTCGTTTTTGTTTGCTATGACGTCACCGAACGTTCTGCGGAGACATGATCACGTGCCATCGAACGTCGGTATGAAGGCGGATTCTGAAAATCGTTGCTCAAAATTTTTTTAGGTTACCGATGATGCTAAAGGTACGGTAAACCGTACTGCACTGCTTCGCTTGGTATGAATATATTTGTAGACTGTGGTATCTGCTGTTATATTACCGTGATAAATCGAATTGGTTTTACAAAGAAGAAGCGTCTGGCAGATACGGTACTGCGGTAAGTTACCGTACCACAGTGAAATTGACTTATTTCTTTCGCGATCTTACTAATGCAGTAATGTAGGTTTCCTAGCAAATTTAGCCTACCGTATTTGTTAATTTTGATAAGAGCAAATTGTATTGAGTTTTTATATGCCAGAAAAAAACCGTTCCACGATCGAATAGCAGGCCTACATACATCTGCAGTACTGGTAAGGTACCGTGCGTACAGTTCTGATGTAAACCACACAAATTTTGTAGCCTACCTTATTTTTTTTATTTGATAAGAGGAAATGCATTGAGTTCTTATATGACAAGGAAGAACCATTCTGCGAACGAATTTCAGGTACTGGTAAGTTACCGTACCGCGTAGGATTATCGGGGAATCGGTATTTTTTTTACTTTTCCCTGGTACCGTAATGGATAAGTGACTTGGATCACTTGGTATTTCAATTTACGTTGAAATTGGAGGTGGGACAAAACAGGCTTTTAGTGGCCCGGAGTAGGCTACCTGTCAATCAAGTCATCGATCTAGTCACACTAGAGTGATTTAGGCGTTTAGAGCCGTTAATCTCCGTTCTCGGAGCGGGAAAACGTTCGCCAGGATAATGGGGCATTGGGGGTAGGGGCAGTGCCTCCGCCCCCTCAGTGGTTAGAAAACGTGTGGAAAGCCACGCCCACTTGTTACCTAATCCTAAAAAGTCGCTTTTCTCTTTAATTACTACCAATTGCTCTGAAATTTTCAGTGATTGAATATAAAAATTTTCTTCAGAAGACTATTACTTTCATTTACTTCAAACGTGTCCATATATTTGAGCATAGCTCTCTTGTCTCATCTTGAAATAAAACGATGCTGTAGGTTATTCGCTACGCTTTAGCAATTTTGCCCAGAGGTATATTACACGAGTTTTCTGCGAGGTCAGGTTGGAAAAAATCCAAATGATCATCCAAAATTATGATCCGTACAATACGGCCCACTTTAAAGAGACGGTCACGTGAAATAAAAATCATTTCTTCATGAGATGGAGATCGACAATTACAAGCCTTCCATTTTATGAAAAAAAAATCACTTTGTTTGTTTTAGGTCAGTAGACAATTTTTATACGTTGGCTTTGGATACGGATCTATGACACGCTCTCACTTTTGCGAATGTAAAGAACTATGCAGGGATATATCACACAATTTGTCACACCCTGGTATAAGGGCTGTCGCCTCAAAATTTTTAACCCAAGACGTTATCATACTTTGTACCAACCATTCAATGAATATGTCAATATTTCTAAAATGAGAGTATGAACTGCTACCATTGACTGAATCGATATGATTGCTCACTATTTTGAATAAATCAAAATATTTATCTTTCATTAAAATTATACAACAATTTCCATTTACGTGAGTTTGCTTTTTTCTTTTGCTTCAATACATGATTATTGGTATATCGCTCTTCTAGTCCAGCGGTTCCCAACCGCTGGTCCGCGAGTACATTTTATTTAATTTAACCGGTCCGCCAGGGTAGAAAGGTTGGGAACCACTGTTTCAGTCATACAAAAAATTCGAGCCAACTCAAGCCTGCATTGGCGCCATAATCTTCCTCTCGTGGCGATGTATCAAAAACTTTCTCTCAAACAATAAACCAATATTGAACACATTTCCATTTATCTAATCATTATGAAAAGACATGTTTTCAGCTGTAATATCATGCAATAAGTTATCTCCAATAACTTAATCCAATGACTGAACTATTTCTTGCTCAACCTGATTCCTTCCAGAAACATAACGTGAAAACAACAAAAATGATATCACATGGAAGCTAAATTTATTTCGAGTTCGTAAGCAAGTTCGTAATATTTTTATTTCCAAATTTCTAAAATTACGTAAATTGAATAGTTATTCTTCTGAATTTCACATCTATACCTTCATAATTTAAAAAAGTTGAACGACAAAGACAGAATAATCTAACAGACAAGTGACTGTTCAAAGTGTTAATTTTCGACAGCAATTTAATCAAAATGTATGGATTTCAAACTAGGAATCAATGATTTAAAATATATGATAGATTCCGAGGAACAGAATACAACCAGGCAGACGTTTATTAGATCTGGATCTCACAAATAACTCCATTCATTTCCCGTGTAGGAGGAGCATTTCCCATTCCTCGCAATCTATGATTGTAATTAATATTCAGATAAACATTTGTGCGATATATATATTCAATTCCAGTAAGTGGAGAACCTGTATACCATTTTATGAATGAATCTGCGGGTGTGACGTCACGGGTCTGAGAACAAACAATAAAAATGGTTAGATGTAGATTATCATTGGATTATGCTTGATCAACCGCAATTCTCACACGTCTATTTCCATGTTCGTGTGGTTAGGTATTCACAATTATTATAAAAAATAAAGACTGATTATATATTCGTTATCACTTTGTAGACGTGTTGGCGCTTCAAATACATTTAGTGTTTCGTGGTTTTCAAGCAAAACTCCATGTTCGTGCTGCATGGGATTGGTTTGTCCAAAACTGCACAATTATTATGAATTGAATTCTATTAGGATATTCGTTATCACTGGTACAGACGTATGACATTATAAAAGCACGGAACTCCAAACAGTGACCCCTGTACCCGCAGAATCTGATGTGCTAATGAGCGCAATCTACAGTAATTAACAAGAAGAAACCAGATTCCAATTCACTTGACTCCCATCATCACAACCATCAAGGCTGATGGTATCTTTCAATCCACAAGTCTAACTATACTGATATGTAAAAAGTCCCGAATGAGTAACAATGTCATCGTTGCATTTTAAAATCGCTCGTATAATATTTCCAAATCTCTGTTGCCGTATTGTATTTGCGGCCTTCCCCTATTTCACCCGTCTAATGACAGATCCTTATGTTTCACGAGTATAAATAAAACCGCCTCATGATACTAACCATTGGATCAATACGGATTCCCGTCCATATAAATTTCCCCATCTCTCCCTTCCCCAAGTATTTCATAATCGCATTGTAGGATTCTTTATCCCGAATCAAACCAACATCTGCGTTACGTTTCTCACAACTATCAACTGCTATGTCGTAGATGACATCTTCTCCTACTGATATCACAAAAAAATAGCAGATATTTCCAATCTTCAATTTGCAGTTTTCTGAAATTTATTAAATTCCGTTTCACAAATTTTAAGTGTAAAAACTTTCCCGCCACCGTTGAAAATGCACGTTTGTCTCTATTCCATATCTAAATTGCACATTGCAAATTTCACCAGACTTCACAACAGCTGTCTGCTCAGACCTCTTCTTAGAGCACAGATTGCTGCGTTTTGGGAAAATTAAATTACTTTTGCTAATTATAGACAAACTCTTACGACAGTTATGAAGTTGTTATTACTGTGGTTACTCGATTTTTCTATAACTGGTCATTCGGTCCAGGATCTCTATTTTACCTAAACGATCGTGACTTTTTTCACCTCTTAATGCCATTGGCATTGTCACCATTTTTCTTTATTGTCCTCACAGAGCACGACCATTATCACTGAGTTTGCATCATTGCCCAAAGTACATGTGGAATGAACTTCATCAAAACTGTTTTTCCTGTCTGAATTGTATTTATATATTTATTTATTCATATATTGCCGTATCAGTACCGGTACTTAATCCAACCCAGCTTCCCCTGTTATGGTTGCTGGGAATTCCCCTTCAGTTGCTAAGTTTCTGCAGCGTCCTGCCAGTCAACATTTTCATATTGTGATTGCGATCACCCGAGCATGACGCTGCGAGACTGACATACTAGTTTTATCGTAAACGCGTTTTTTCTGACTTTTACTCGACACGATGGATATTCGTTCCCATTTAAACATTTCTCTCTCGATTCCATTCACATTTCTTTTTAAACCTTTCTCTTTTGACTTGCTCTCTCGATTCGATTTACGTTTTCTAAATTTCCCCTGAGCTAACTTAATTCTAGATTAATCATTTCTTCCCCGACTCTCTTGATTCCATTCATACTTTTTATTTAAACTTTTCTCATTTGGCTTACTCTCTCGATTCGATTTACGTTTTCCAAATTTTTGCCCTGATCATATATAACTCAACCTTAATCATTTGACGTTTTTTTGACGTCATTCAGCTTTAATGGTGTCGCTGACACGATGACTTGATAGTCTTTCGCGGCTCCTCGTTAATTGCAGTCGAAACATTATGTGTCTGTTGTTTTCTTTTGCCTTGATTTACTATGCTTGTGTTGTTCATAATGTTTCTTGCACGACGAAAATAAATTATCTGAATCTGAATCTGTGGTATTCCGAACAGGGCTGTTCAGGTGGGAAAATTCAGTGTCGAAACATGTAAATTTCGACTCCGACTTCTAACCCCCAAAAGATCTAATTTATAAAGAAAGAATTCAAGTCATAGAGCTTAATAACCTAAGTTAATATTACTATTGAAAATATAAAATTTCTGATTTGGAAAAATCCGATAGTTTAAATATTTGACTCCGGTGGAAACAAGTTCGACTTCAAACTCCTGATTGAGATCTTCACTGCGCCACTGACTATGAAATTTTACCTGGGGAAGGATTCCGTTTTAATGTTGTTTTGGTTGTTGTCGTCGGTCTCTGTTGGTTTCTAGATCGAACCTGTTGAGGCTTCTTCGTTGCAGAGAGTTTTTGTTCAATCCGATCCATTGCTGAATAGAAGAATATACATAAGTTAGCGTCTATTTCCAGCATTACCGAAAACAAAATGTCTAATTCAATGACAGAATGGCCCATTCGGTTGCAATTGAACTTGTAGTCAACTTGAAGAAATAGTACAAGGATTTTCAGTCTATCTATGCTCTTCTACGTAATCTAATTTTAATCTACATCCGGTGCGCCGTTATGTTGTAAAACTATGAACTAATTAATTTGAAATCCTCAGCATGATTTTATTTCATCGGCTAAGGTTACATTTGCTGAGCTATAACTGCGTGATTCACCTCTCCTCATTTCATTGTTTGTTTGCTTTTGTTCGTCCAATTCTTCAAGAAGCTTACTAGATTTGGAATTTTGTGTAGCCTGGTTACTGTTCCTAGTGTTGGTCTCTACTGCGGATTTAGGCACGTTTCCAACAGCGCCCACTTTGTCGAGTTCACACAGAAAAAGAATTCCTATTTCACTAAATCAGGTGTGATGTTAAAAATCATCACACAAACCTTTTTTCAATTCCTTGATTTCAACTGATTGTTCTTTACGGCTCTGCTTTAGGTCAACGATTTCGGCAGATAGCCTTGTATTTTCGCTCTGTATCTCTCGAATTTCTGCGTGATATATATAGGTAAAAATTAATAATGTTGACAATAATAACTAAGCGTCAAAGCAAAGTTTTAGATAGATTTTTTTTAATTCCATTTACTTTAGTTATCTAACGTTCTTATGCCAACTTTGTTCAAGTTAAGACTTAAGAGCATACTCCATTGAAAAAAGTCGGATAACGACTAACTGTATCATTAATACTAACTTGAAATTTCTTTATTCAAACCATGGATGTTTTTCATTTTTTCATCAACGTTTTCTTCCAATTCTTTGAATTCTGATTTGATACTCCCAATATCTGAATAAATTTGTAATAGCTTATTACCTAGTAGATTAAATACAAATTGTTTTGAACTATTTGAACACACGAATTAATTAAACTGATAAGGTAATGCTACGGTGGTTGAGTTTATCAATCCAATTTTGTAATTTATTAATTTCTCTTGAAAACGGTTGAAATGTTCTGATAAACAGACTTAAAACATCTGAAAAGTAACCAGAGAAATACTTTTTCCTAAGAAATCGGGGATAAACTTGATTTCCTATCTGTATTCGACCTTATACCGTTGGGTCATTCTTAGGATAGGATTTAAATATTTATCCCGGGGGTGAGGAAAGTAGACAAGACGGCTCAACCATGTGGCGAACCACGGCCTCTCGTCCGATTACCATTCCGTGTCGGGTATGGGGTTAGTCAGTTATTTGTCTTCGGGAGCATGGACTTGGTGGTGGAGGAAGCCGTAACCGACCAGCGGTTACGTGATCCACCCTACGGCGGCGAAGAGTCCAGCAATCCTCTCGCACATAACCGTCACTGCATGAGATTTGAACCTGCGAATCCACGCAGAGTAATCAGCGGTGCGGTGGCGAACGTATTCCCAGCGCTTAGCACAATGAGCCACACCGCCGCGCCTTAGCATTGCAAATGTGGCAGCCACCTGTAATAACATTGACTTATGCTTTTGTAACGTAATTCATCGATTCAATGTCAAAACAGTAAAATGTGGGACTCGATCATATTTAGCAAGTTTGCTCTACTCGTTTATGGAGCCCAATAATTTAAAATCATCAAATCAAATTATACCGAAGTACCTAAAGTATTCCTGGATACTAAAGGAAACAGATTGACGGCATTCTGAGGTTGAGCCGTATTCTTAGATTTGCACGTAATCGGAAATTCCTTGTTTTGCAGATGTTCATCAATGTTGAAGCCTGGTCTGCTCCATCCTACAGCAACAGGATCACATTGTGCGATCTGGCAACCCGGCTTGGGAGAGCAGTGGAACACTGCCTCATCTTGACACCAGGATGAAGAGATGACGTAGATTAAGATAAAAACGATTGAGATTTTCATCCCGAGGTTTTAGTGTAGTAAAGTATTAACTGAATGAAGAGAAGTGTAAATGTTTTCATATAAACTTATAAAGTATGTTATTGAAGGCGAAAAAATATGTGCTTGCTTGACTCTATGGACATAACTTTTAAAATTAGTTCCGTCTGCAGTGGATTTAAATAGTCACAAACAAACACAAAATGTATATTTTAGTATGTAAGTTTTAGTTCAATTTCAAGCTGAGTCTGACTATTCCCCTCGCCGAGTTATCTTTATAAATTTATATAAACTCATAGCCTAGTCTTTCACACTTTAACGGCGATCAGATGAATTCAACAGCCGGACATCCTATCTAATATAGTGAGCATAGCATATATAGTACGGTACCGTACTTTATACCTTCAAAAAAGATATTGCAACATTGGCACTCAACGAAGCAACAGCTCAGACTCGAGAATGAAAAGCGAAACCGCCGCGTCCCCTCAAAGTGAAGCAACAATGCTTTCAAAAATGTCTTAGCGTATTAAATCATAACTGGAAATTACGTAAACCCTTTCGTTAAAACTTTAAAATTTCAATTAATAGCATCACAAACAACGTCGGAAGACTCGGAACGCAACAACGTCGTTATTCAGCAATAACATTGTTTACCGTTATCAGTGCTATTTCCAAATTTACTTGCGGAGTGACCAAACTGGAATTTCGAAAGTAGCGTAATAGATGATGTCTTCACAAAGTCTCGTTTGGAGTCAAGAATTGGAAATGTCTTTTGCTGTGAAAATCTTAACATCAGCAATGAAAGGACGATCTTCCTTAGTTCTGTTCCAAGGTTTTACCAACTTTGCTTATTCTTTTACGTTTTCGTGTTCACACCCACGAAATTATCGATAATGAAAGACACATTCTATCTTCGAGCCTCGAAACTTCAGCCAAAGAGGTGCATTCCATACAATCGATATCAAACTGCACTAATATAGTTTTTATGGCGTCGCTTTTATGACCAAAACTTTACCACACTCGAATATTTATTGGAATATACGTGAGGAATCGTGTCGAGGCGCAGTTTCAGATCTTAAACGGATTAGCGGTCACGCGTGTGACGTTCAGTATGGAAAAACAATGACATCGCCGAATTTAATTTATTGCAATATTCTATTTATAAATAAATAAATCGCACTGTGACGTCTGTAATTGTGACATTACCCTGGAGCCCATAGGAAAGTCAGCTATTTCTGCTCACAATGCATAAATTTTTCCAGTCGTCCTTATTTTGGGTTCCAGATCGATGGAATCCCTGCATATACTATTAAAAGTAAACTTCGCGGTAATTTTAGTACCAGGTTAGAGTTTTAATTCTATTGCAATTTCGGGGACTGTCTGCCGAACCGCCTTACCGCCTCTCCGGTTTTCAGTTCACGGCGAGTGCAGGTAGTTACCGTAACTAGTTATGGGAACGACAGGCAGGTAGGCGAGGTTGACGGCCAAGGTACCGTAGGCTAGTAGGTTACATACCTGTACGGTAGGCTGGTAGGCTACCTACCCGTACGGTAGACTGGTGGGTGTTACTGGTACCTGACCACAGGACGAGGCAGTTAATCGCGATTATGGAGGCGGTTCCGCCTAGGCGAGGTTTGGTCATTGCACCCAGACTAAACTGACCCTAGCGATTATAACAAATGCGGATAACTCGGTCGTATAATTTCTGCTTGTAGGGACTGCATTCGCGCTATCCTTTTTGTTTGAATAAAAAAAATTGCCTCATTCACCGTACCGTTACGGTACACAATATACCTACAACCATAGAAGTGTAATTTCATCCTTTTTTTGAGGCTCCAATGCCGGTAGCAATATTTTTATTTGACAGAATCAATGTACCCTGTACCTACAGGCAGACTTATTCTTCTCAAGTGATGTTCCTGTGCTCTCCAAAAGAAACTGAAGCCAAGAAGTCCTACCGGTATGCCTGTACATGCAGTGTCGTCAGCACTTTCAAAATTTTTATGTTAACAGCGTCTTGTCTGATGGTTCATATTGGAACATGCTACCGGTATCCAAAACAATTCCTTTTGAATAAATCGGTAGCGGTACGTTAATCAATATTCAGTTATCCTATATATGCATAATTTATCCCAATATATCATTTCGTTAAATGAATACAATAGCTTTACCCCGCCAGACTTTCTGTTTTTGTTATCAGATTATTGACCGTTAACGTTAACGGTATATTCTAAATTCTTTGAGTGCTTTTCCTCTTGTACGGCACATTGATCGACCTTAAATTATCCAAACTGACAATGCCACAATATACTATGGAGGAGATAATGTGGTGGAATGTGGAGAATTTAAAATTTTTTTGGAGAAGATATAGACTTGCGGCGACAAAAAAACACACTGAGTTGGTTGCCCTCGTGTACGCAACACGGCAATGAACCTTGAGGTGAAAAAGTCACCGCAGTAACTTCTGCGGTGCAGGGATATCAAAATATCCTTCTCGCTCCAGATGGTATCAAGTAGCCAGATTAAAATTCGTCTGATACATTACCCTGGATCGAAGAAAAACATGGAATAGTTTTTGGCCTAACCTGCACATTACACATATTGCTTTGTATTTGAGTAAAGGTGAACTTGAAGTGACGGAGAAGCTTTTGGATGGATATAAGCTGGGCAAGCCATACAGTTATTTTTCTTCCATGTGGCTGAAAGAAGTTTATTATCTCCGCTCAGCGCCGGATTAACCATTAAACAATATAAGCACGTGCTTAGGGCACCAAGCAAAGAGGGGCACCACAGAAATTTTAGAGCAGAATTTTATATAGTTTATCGGTATTTATTAAAATATTACGAGTTCACCAGGCGAGTCAAACTTCGAAATGTTCGCTTATTTTTTGTCTTCACGTGTCATATAAACCTTCTTTACTAAAAATAAACACTGAAACTTATTTATTGGGCACGAAATGGGCCTATGAGTCGTTTCCTTAAATTGTTGTTGTTGTTTTTTTCTTTCTAGTATTCACCTTGTCGCTGCATTTTTATTTTCAAAATTTTTTTTATTTTCTTCAACAATTGGACCAATAAACTATTTACACCATTTGGCGATTCCACGATCGCATTTCAACGATATATTGGTCAGCAAAGGCGGGAGTTTCTTGATAAGGTAGACCAGGGTGGTCCAAACTCTGCGTCGGCCATGTGACAGTAGTGACGAAACGCAGAGCCGACTTAGCGCTGCGTAATCCAGTTTTTTTCAGTTAGGCCCCGAAATACCAACTGAGACGGACTTGGTTGGTATTTGACGATGTCACTAAGCTTGCTTACGCTGCAAGTTTTTAAACTACTCAATATACCAATTCGTAATAAAATGAATGTCGCAAGAAAGGTGACATAAGAGAACACGGCGGAAATGTATTTCCTTGCCCATCACATAGTGTGAGTAATATCTGTCACGAAAGAATATAATTTGAAGCGACATTAAACGCGAGATGCGCAAAATACAACGGTAATTAACTTTAAAATAACTGAAGGCTTTATATATCTTCTTTAAAAGAACGCCACCCATGCAACATGATGATAGTCTGATTAGAACGGTGAACTTTCGTTGTTTATTAAATTTAAAGTAAGTAAACTCGCTATATTTTGATCACTTTTGGGTTTTCTCCGACTTGCGGCCCGCGAGAGCTCCTCAAAAGATTTTGCGGTCCTTCAACATAGCAACCTTGAACCACTTTGAGGTAGACTACTAGGCACCGGTAAAATTCCAAATTACAGTTGTGACTTGTATCCTTTGGTATTTCGATTCACGTTGAGACTGGAGGCATGAATCTTTATTGTCACACTCCCTCAGGATTAGCCCAACCGATATATCGGCCCGATATTGTGTGTTTGCATATATATAATATCGGCAGTTAACGGCCGATATATATATCGGCTATATATAACAGTTAAAAAACCTAAAAATGTTCGTAAAAGTTGTTCTATTTACTGTTGGTTGTGATTATCTTTAATGGATAATACACTTATGTGGTTTATTGTTTTTATAATTAAATTACACATGAGGGGGCACCAAAGTCTTCAGTGCTTAGGGCACCAAAGGGGCTTAATCCGCCCCTGTCTCCGCTTCAAACATTACTGCATATCCAAAGCAAACTGTTTCCCGTCACAGCGAATTCATGATCCGCCTCATAAATTGCGGGTTTGCTGTAGAAGGGATAATGGAATGAACGATTGTTAGAGGTTTTTGTTCTTGTACTGCAGGGTAAGATTCCTACAGAAGGTATTCCATAAAGGGTAATCCCGAAGTATGAGTACCAGGTATGGCCATAATATTATTTCGATTTTTTTTATTTTACTTCTATTACGAGTTCGAGGACCGTCTGTGTCCCTTTACATAACTTAATGTAAAATTGGCAAACGAAATTGGCTACTCCTATTGGTACAATACTTCAGGAGCACCTCATAAAGTACTATCAAAACAGAAACACCGGATTTTCTAAAGGCACTGCACTGTTTGTTAGTTTCCTTTTTTGATTTATTATGCCCGAAAATGAAATGATTGGTAATGTGGAATTCATTCAGAGGAGATGACTTCTATGTACTTAATCTATGATATTCATTTCAGTCATAAGCAAAATTTGTCGAGAGAACGATCCTATAACTGAAAAGCCATTAGGTACAGAGCAGTGGCTAGAATGTTGGAAAGAGTAGTTGTTCCAGCGTAGCTCATGCCTCAGCTTCAGTGTCGCAATAAAAAATGTTCGAAAACGCGGAGATAGAAGAGAGTAAATTTGATAGGTTTTTAAGTATGAAGGTGGTTTGGAAAAATAGTCTTACAGCGGCTACAAGAGATGAGGTTAAAGATTTGGAAAGAAGAACAAGGGGTCAGGCTACTAATACCAAGTTAGGGTTATCAGGTTGTGCGCCATCTTGGTACATATACTACGGGAGCGCCAAATAATGTCCGTAAGTCGTCAAGTGCCGGATATTCCCATTATCAATTTTTTAAAGAGGGTTCGTATAGAAAACATGTGAATATATGGCCAAGAACAAGACGCCGCCGAGTTCCAGTCAATTCTGTTCGACATATGCCCGATTTACAGGAAGAGTACAGAGTTGCAATTTTTGACAATACGCAAGTGTAACGAGTGTTCTTATAAAACATATAATGTCAGTTTCACAATGGGCCGGTTTTACGAGCTTGTGCGTCTCAAGGCGGATGCATCTGCAATAGCAACTGAGTTGACATAGGGACGGACGGAGCGTCCGTGATTAATATTTTTTCGGATGATTCCAGGCATTGGATTGTGTAATTCTGAATAAAAATTCAACGGATGAATATCTCTTATTTGAAAACGGTCAAGAAACCCAGAAGCCCAGCATTTAAAACTGTTGCAAGGCACAAAATTCAAGCAGGGAAAGAATCCAAAGTTAACGAAGCTGAAGGAATGAGTGCTCCCACACTGTGACGTCTGTAATTGTGACATTAACCTGAGCCCATAGAAAGTCAGCTATTTCTGCTCACAATGCATACATTTTTCCAGTCCTCCTTATATTGAGATACGACAAAAAAAAAAACTGAGTTGTTGCCCCTCGCGTATGCAACACAGGGCGATGAACCTTGAAGTGAAAAGTCACCGCAGGAGCTCTGCGGTGCAGGAATATAAATATCCTTCTCGCTCCAGATGGTATCAAGTAGCCAGATTCAATTCGTCTGGTCTGATACATTACCTTGATTCGAAGAAAAACATGGAATACCTTTTTGACCTAACCTGCACATTACATATATTGCTTTGTATTTAAGTAAAGGTGAACCTGAAGTGACGGAGAAGCTTTTGGATGGATATAAGCTGGGAAAGCCATACAGTTATTTTTCTTCCATGGAGCTGAAAGAAGTTTATTATCTCCGCTTCAAACATTACTGCATATCCAAAGCAAACTGTTTCCCGTCACAGCGATTTCATGATCCGCCTCATAATTTGCGGGTTTGCTGTAGAAGGGATAATGAAATGAATGATTGTTAGAGGATTTTGTTCTTGTACTGCAGGGTAAGATTCCTATAGATTATATTTCATGAAGGGTACTCCCGGAGTTTGAGTACCAGGTTAGGCCATAATAATTTATTCCGATTTTTCTTATTTTACTTCTATTGACGAGTTCGAGGTATGTCTGTGTCCTTTACATAACTTAATGTAAAATTGGCTACCTCCTATTGGTACAAATACTTCAGGAGCACCTCATAAAGTACTATCAAAACCATAAACACCGATTTTCTTAGGGCACTGCACTGTTTGTTAGTTTCCTTTTTGATTTTACTTATGCCCGAAATGAAATGATTGGTAATGTGGCAATATCATTCAGAGGGAGATGAACTTCTATATACTTAATCTATGATATTCATTCAGTCAAAAGAAAAATTTGACGAGAGCGCGAATCTATAACTGAAAAAACATTAAGTACAGAGCAGTGGCTGGAATGTTTGAAAGATGTAGTTGTTCCAGCATAGCTCATGCCTCAGCTTCAGTGTCGCAATGAAAAATGTTCGAAAACGCGGAGATAGAGGAGAGTAAATTTGATAGGTTTTTAAGTATGAAGGAGGTTTGGAAAAATAGTCTTACAGCGGCTACAAGAGATAAGGTTAAAGATTTGGAGAGAGAGAAGGACAAAGGGTCAGGCTACAAATACCAAGTTAGGGTTATCAGGTTGTACGCCATCTTGGTACATATACTACGGGAGCGCCAAAAA